TTAGGAGTTCAAGACCAGCCTGGCTAACATGGTAAAACACTGTTTCTACTAAAAATACAAAAATTATCCAGATGAGGTGGTGTGTGCCTGTAATCCCAGCTACTTGGGAGACTGAGGCTGGAGAATCGCTTGAACTTGGGAGTTGGAGATTGTGCCACTGCACTCCAGCCTGGGTGACAGAGGGAGACTCTGTCTCAAAAACAAAAACAAACAAAATTTCAGAGCAGATACAAAGGCAAAAATAAGAGATTGTGGAGAGCAGATAAAATCTTGACAATCTTAGGTTACAGACTTCAGTCCTGGCTTGAACTTTTCTGACAAGTTGGGCAAATTCTTTCATCTCCATGTTCTTGCAGGTAGAAATAAAAATGTTGAACTAATTAATTTTTCAAATTTCAATAACTATTCTCTTCTATTTTTATGCTTCCAAAAGTTATGTATTTGAGTGCATGCTTGCATATTTGTGCACGACAGTGTGTGTTTGTTCTCATGGGGGTACATTTGCCTGCATGTGTGGGTTTATGTGTGTGTTGTGTGTGCACCTAAGTGGTAGGAAGAAGCTGCGAAGCTTATCTTGCTATCATATTCTGTAAGTGGTCTTAAAAAGCAACTGAAACTGGTCAGGCACGGTGGCTCATGCCTGTAATCCCAGCACTTCGGGAAGCCAAGTTGGGCAGATCATCAGGTAATTTCCACGTAAGATCAGCTGTTGAGCTCTGTGCACTGTCTGGGGCTGACTTTTCAGGACACGGCCATGCATGCGCAGTTCTCAGAGCCAGCAGAGGCAGACGAGGGAAGACTTGGGACATCGGTCATCAAGGGAGGATACTCGGAATGGGTGAGGTCTGAGACAAGACCCTCCCACAAGTGGAGTGTCCAGTGCTCCCAATTCTATGAGCTGGACGGTGCCTCGGCTGATGACGTGGGGTCACTTCAGTTATTTTTGGTCATTGCATCCTACCCTCCCTGCGTGAAAACACATGGCCAGGAAGGGAAACATTACTACCTAGAAAAGGAGACTGATGTTGACAGAGGAGCATTGGAGAGTCTTTTGTGAACGGACACAATTGGTGAAATCCACCTTCAGTGACATCTGCAGTGTTTCCTGAGCCTGGGCTTGTACTTCTTGCCACACAGCAATGTCTCCCAACCTGGTTGCACATCAGCCCTTTCCCAGATCTACTGAATTACTATCCCTATGTCCGAGGCCTGGAAAATCTGTATCTTAAAACACTTTCCATCCATTTCAGATGTAGCTAACCCAGCCTTGGAGCAGGCACCAGGAGCTGACATGGTACAAATGAAACCAGCACTTAGCCTGTTCTAGGGTGTCTGTCTTTAGCTCTGATACTGGAAGTATTGCTGGATAAACCTGCACTGAAGAAGGTTCTTTGGCTTCTCTCAATAATGTTTTTCCCTCAATAATTTTTGAAACTAGAAAGAGGTCATGAGACCAGACATTTACGGACTGATGTAAGAATTGTCTGAGGTTCTAGAACTTGCTAGATACTTGAGCAGATCTAAAACTGCTTCCTGAAGATTCTCTCCTGGATTTGCAGGTTTCCGTCTATTCCAGCTTCACAAGGTGGGACAGTCCAGTTCCGGCAAGGATGCAGCTGACGGTGACCCCACTGGCTTTTATCAAGAGCTAATAGTGATTAGGCATCTTTGAGAAACTGCATTTAAAGATACTGTCCATTATGTTGTATATAATACAAATACATACAAAACAATTGTCTCCAAGAAGAGTTTCTTGTTACTAGATATTGAGATTGTATGACTTATTACTTCAAACTTTGTCTCTGCTACCAGGAAGCTCAGAGCTAAATTTTGTGCTCGTAACATAATAATTGTGAGATAAGAAGGCAAAACACAATAAATATTTTCATTTTTTAACTCCTCAGGGAAATAAAAGTGTAGGTGTGCATTAAATGGTTAGAGATAAAAACCTTAGAATACTGTAACCAGGGAGGATTTCGAATGTGCTCAGGAGTGCTGAGAAGGATTTTTTTTTTTTTTTTTTTTTTTTTTTGAGTAGTAAAGACTTTTTTGCATAGTAAAAATCACAGTTGACCTGGAGCTGGGGTAATGCTTTGCATACTGCCTCATAATCCTGACCAGGATCCTTATGCTCGACTATCCAACAGACAGACAGAAGAGGAAAAGAGACATGAACGGTTTAATGAAAGATGCGGATAGGCCAGGTGCGGTGGTTCACACCTGTAATCCCAGTACTTTGGGAGGCCGAGACAGGCAGATCACCTGAGGTCGAGAGTTCAAGACCAATCCACCCAATATGGAGAAACCCCATCTCTACTAAAAATACAAAAATTGGCCGAGTGTGGTGGCCTATACTTGTAATCCGAGCTATTGAGGGGGCTGAGGCAGGAGGGTCCCTTGAACCTGGGAGGTGGAGGTTGCAGTGAGCTGAGATGGCACCATTGCACTCCAGCCTGGGAAACAAGAGTGAGACTTCATCTCAAAAAAAAAAGAAAGATGTCCATAAATGACAGCATCAGTGTGGGAACTCCGGCCTTCAGGGCACCAAAACCCACTTTGAATCACGATGTAATACCTTCTCTCACACAACACTTAGGGGTGCTCAGTCTCCAAGCCAGGCCATGGGGCCACCACTACAGGCCCCAGGAGCAGCAGCGCCCTTTCCCAGACAGCATCTGGACTGAGGCCGCGCTGGGAAACTGTGTCAATCCAGGTTTCCCTCAGGTCACAAAGGCCTTGTGTGTGCACGGCCGTTAATGCAAAAGTGTCCTTTCTTTCTAGAGAGACTGTTCTTTTCAGACTTTCTCTGACTTTTATACCATGGTTGGCTGAAATTGCCATGCTGAAAAGCAAAGATCTCAGATCCCACAGATGACCGCCTCTAAACTGAATTGCATGATTTCTAGGAAAATCCCAAAACTAGTGATTCTGACAGCTTGGCATCCACGTTCCTAGAGATAAGGCAGATAAACGTAAAAACCTATCTTAAAGGTGCCAGCTATTCTCTAAATAGATGGAATTAAGTCGCATATGCTCAATCTCTGGAACTGGTAACACTACTTCCTCATTCCCTGCTATGAGATAGTACAGTTATGGGAGAATTTGATAATATGGTAGTAATTTAATAGTCTAGTAATTATTCAGATTGACCCCTAAATTTCTCATTGGTACGACCTACCAGTTTGAAATGACTTTAGGCAAAATAAAAAATATTTTAGTGAGTGTGTATAGGAGGACTCCTTAACCTGGAACCCATGAGCTTCCTAAAATATATGCAAATTATATGCAATTTTTTGTCCCTATGTGGTACCTGTTTTTAGGAGTTCTTTTGGAATATAGCTTTCATGGAGATTTGCGACTTCATAAAAGGTCAAGTGTCATTGCCAAATAACCTTACAGTAATTGACTATCTCAAAATCCTGGTAATTTCTAACAGTGATTAAAACCAGCAAACTTTTGTCAACAGAACCTAAGATTGAGACCCACTCTGAAGAAACCATGTCATGTGAATTGCAAATTCCTCAGTGGCCTCCTCCTGACCAGTTTTCAATGTCCCCCTCAAAAAGAAGCACAAGTCACTGAATTTCTCTTTTATTTAAGCATTAAGAAATTATAGCATAGTGACTTTAGAAAACTTTCTCAAAATGTCCTTAACAGCAATGAAGAGACATCATGTAACAGGTGTGGAACATTATCTTTTCCCTTTTTTTTTTTTTTTTGGTTTGTTTTTATTTCAGGCTCCTTGACCAGGGAAACAAATGTTCCACTCATTTGCTTTTAAAGCGGAGAACAAGGCACACACGCTCTATTTAATAAATGCAAATCATGGGCCGGGCACGATGGCTCAAGCCTGTAATCCCAGCACTTTGGGAGGCCGAGGTGGATGGATCACGAGGTCAAGAGATCGAGACCATCCTGGTCAACATGGTGAAACCCCATCGCTACTAAAAATACAAAAAATTAGCTGGGCGTGGTGGTGCGTGCCTGTAATCCCAGCTACTCAGGAGGCTGAGGCAGGAGAATTGCCTGAACCCAGGAGGCGGAGGTTGCGGTGAGCCGAGATCGCGCCATTGCACTCCAGCCTGGGTAACAAGAGCGAAACTCCGTCTCAAAAAAAATAAATAAATAAATAAATAAAATAAATAAATAAATAAATGCAAATCCTAAAAAATGTCCTTAGTGTCGTATTGTGGCCAGTTAAGAACAGGAGATGCCTGCACAGAGCCTGGAGAAAGAGGGCCGGGGAAGAAAGGAAATCAAAATAAAGCAGCTGACAGCGACGGCAGGGAGACACGCAGGTGCAGTGACAGCCCCACTGCAGCAGGGGCTCATCTTGGAAGACAGAGAGAGGCTGCAGAAATTCACTACCTCTAGGATGCCCCCAGGGAAAAGTCTTCAAAATATTGTTGTTACCGTGACCAAGCTGCAGAAGTCTGAATGATCGGTATTTGCACTAGCTGCAAGATGAGACCAAGCTGAGCCCTCCCTGCCTTTGGCTTGGAGTCAGCGCTCTCTTGACCCAGCCTCTCATCTCCAGACCAAGTACCCTGCCCGGGAGGCAGCAATCAGAGGTCACCTGGGTGGGAGTGGACAAGAGACGCACAGCCGCTTCAGCAAGCATGCTAGTTTTGCCCTTCTAGTATTAATATATTCGTGCTAAGTGAAAGAAAACTTCTCTCCAAATTCAAAGAAGTTATTCAATGGGTGGGTTTGTTGTTGCTGTTGTTGTTTTTGCAACTCATCTGGCAGGTGACCTAGCTCCAAGTGAATTAAATGCTTCGCATCTAACTAAATGTGTGCCTAGAATGAGAGAGAGAGAGAGAGAGAGAGAGAGAGAGAGAGAGAGTTATTAAAGATCTCCACAAGAAAAATAGAAAATCTGTTTTTTAAAATGTAAGGCTTCAATTTAAAACACAATTAAGACTTGACACATTTAAAGTCTATCAAGATAAACATTAAACCAGTTATTGGCTTTTACAAAGTCAGTCAAAAATTGAGGTAATACGTTACTCTTCTAAAACCAGCCTCATCTGATCATACCATTTTATTTCTTTCTCATCCTTTGAGTTACATATACTCAGATGTACGGAAGAAATATGTATAAATCAGCCTCCAGTTAGTGGCAAAAGGGTATGGTTACAAAACGGCGGAGGAGTTTTACTCTTTATTCAAATAATACACAGAAAAATATCATCGGTTGAGCGGTTTCCATGGAAGCGCCCCTTGACTAGGGCTCACCAGCTCTGGCGGTGCCTACTCCTCCGCTTTGGAGGCTGGAAATTCGGTTCACTGAGTTTCAGGGATTTCTAATGCCCTCAACACTTTTCTGACTTGGGAGAAAACAAAACCACAAATGTAGCACCGCATCCCAGCTCTGCAGCAGGAGGCCACCGTCGCGGCCACCCACCCTGGGCCATCGCCTGCTGCACTGTCCAGGGTGCAGCCGAGGGTGACACCCACAGGGGGTGCAGATGTAGCCCTGGGGAAGGCCCGCCTCCAGGCAGAGGGTCTCTGGGACTTAGACCAGCCTTAGGGCTGGTGGGGCCGAGAGGCATTTTCATAGTTGCTTAATTCCCCACTAACTGCAAGGACTCGGGGGCGCCAAGGGGAGGCCAGAGTGGGGCAGAGGCGGCTTCTGGGGTAGATGACACCGATGTAGACAAGAAAGTCCTGGGCTGCCGGCTGGCGAGGGCGGGAGGGGGACCGTGGCAGTCTGGCGAGTCTGGTAGCGCCCCACGCGGGCCGGCTTGCTCACGGGTGTCCTGGAGGTGGGCGCTGGCGGCCCGAGGAGCCTGCGGTCTCCTCCGACTGCCCCCAGGCGGAGCGGCAAGGGCAGCGGATGGGTGGGATCAGGCCTGGCGCGTCCCCGGAGGCCCCGTCCCCGCAGGCCCGCCACGCTCACAGCGTGCTCAGGTGCCGCCGCGCGTCCAGGGCCCCGGCCCGGTCCCGGGAGGCGGCCGCCGACTCCACGCCGCGCAGCCACTCAGTGCATTTGCGCACCAGGCCCTCGTCCAGCGCCTCTGCCTCCTCCTCCTCGTACTCCACGTCGTCGTACCTGTGCCGCTCGTTGAGCAGCGACACCTTGAGCATCGGGCGCAGGGACCCCGGCCGTGGGCTCCGCTGGGGAACCTGCAGGCCGCTGGTCAGCAGCCGGGCGCGGCGGCCGAGGCCGGCGGGGGGCGTGTCGGGGTCGCTGGCGGGGCCGCTCCTCCGCGAGCCCGCCGCCCTGGCCCGGGGACAGGGAGCGAGTAGCCGCCTGGGTTCGGTCGAGGGCGAAGGGAAGGGCCGGCTGGGCCGCGCCAGCAGCTGCTTCTCCAGGTGACGCCTCTGGAGGACCAGGACGGCCTCGGGGGGGAGGCTCAGCGAGAAGCGCGCGGCGGCGTCGGGCCCGGCCCCCCGCCCCGAGGAGGTCCCCGCGGCGGTGGTCCCCGTCCCCGCCGAGGTACCCGCGCAGGTGGTCCTGGTCATCGCTGGGCTGTGGCCGGAGCCCGTCGTCCGGGGAGTGGCGCACGTGGCCCGGGCCCGCGAGCGGCCGGGAGAGGTCTGCGGGGAGACGCCCGGAGGGGCCGGCGGCTGCGTCCTGTTCCAGCCCGGGCCCCGCCGAGCCGGCGATCTCTTGAGCGTAGCGGAGGGCCAGGAACTGGAGAGGAGCCCCTGGGGCCGCTCCGGGGACTTCTTCTTCTTGTCCCCGGAGGCGCAGGGCCTCTGGGGTAACTGGAGCGCTGCTTGGGCCCCCGGGGCGGGGGCGGGGACGGGCGGCGGCGGCACGCGCGGGAAGGGCATGGTGCAGCGGAGCCGCAGGATCCTCAGCTTCTAGAAGGAGACGCGGACGCTCAGCCACCGTGCGCGCAGCGGGTCCCCGCAGGCCGGGCGCCCCCTCCACAACCACCTGCGTCCACCTGCGGCCGCTCCGGCTTCTTCATATCCCGGCGACAAAACCCGGTGACTCCAAGCTAGAGGATCCCACACTTACCTCCTCCTGGGGCGGGGGGCTCCCCCCGACTCGGTGCTCCCTGGACCGGACCCTGCGGGAACCACCTCCCACCGTCCAACTGCGGGCAAGTCGCGGCGCCCCCGGGTCCCCACCGCCGAGACGTGGGTCGGGCCGGCGGAGGAGGAGGTGCCCAGCGCGCTTGCTAAAGACGCGGCCCTGCCAGGCCCCGGGCTGTGCCCGGCTGGTGTCACGACCAACTGTTGAATGCTAACAAAGTGCCAGGAAAGCGGAGGGCGGAGCTCGCGCCATGCGTCCCGGGGCTCCCCCTGATGGCGCTCGGTGGCCCGAGGTTAATTTAGTCCATGGGACACCAGGAGCAGCCCCTGGGGAGCCAGCAGCCTCCCGGGGTCCTAGGTGGAGGCCCTGCACGTTTAAGAGAAAGTCCCTTACGGCCTCTCCACGCCTTCGAGAAAGCAGAAAAAGGCACCGCGAATAGATCCCGCTCTGCGGCCCCACACATCCTGCTTCACAGAAAAAAGCGAGCTGGAGCTGAGACGGGAGAAAAGACCTTCAGTGAATCCTACATGTGTTCATGCCACCCCTCGAAGACTCACTTTCAAATTCAAAACCTAATTATTTATGAACAGGCAAAATAGTTCAGTTTCCGCTATATAATAATGATTCCATAGCAAATATTAGACATTAAATCCCTTTAATGGGTAATTCCTGTGAGCAAAGCAATATATTTATCACCGTAGCAGAGATTCAGGATTAATGAGACAAATCTTCACTGTCAATTTACATTCTAGTTGTACACACATGAAGACATCCTACAACATTCAAAGGTTTAATAAGCGAATAATTGAGCAGTTGCAAAGCAATGGATCAAAAAGTCAACGTTTTGTGTGTGCAGTCCCTGCATGCCTTAAGGATAATCATCAACTGCTTAGATTTCCACAAAGTACTTTCCATCAGATCCGCTTTTCTGATGGAAACAAGGTGAGTGATGGTTATGGCCCAAGGTTAGCTCCAAAGCACATTCGAATGTGGGTAAACACGAATGTGCCCTGTGCCAACAGTCACAGCAGGACAGCATCGCCCTCCCGCAGGCAGCCGCCGCGGTCTCCACGGCAGCAGCAGCACCCCCACCCCGGACCCCCGTTGACTGTTGGAAGCCCCAGAGAACTGCGCTGTGGATACAGGGAGTGTGAAGAAAACCTGGTAGGTGGTGAGAAACACTTCTCACCAGCGCTTGGGTTGGATGACAGGTTTGGGCCCTGTCATTTCTACCAGCACCTCCCAAACCACCCCAGTACAGCTTTGAAACAAGTCTCCCAGCTCCCAGGCACCTTCCCTCCATCTCTGCCAGTCTATCTCTGCCTGTGGGCTCAGGCTGTTAATCGGCTTGACAGGTGAGGTTCTAAGATACTGAACCCCCCGCCCCGCCCCGTGTGTTTTATTCCAGATTTTGGAATCTCTGGGTGGGAGTGGGAAGAGGTACTTCAGTGGCAGCAGGAGGTCCATAGTTCTGTCCCATGGAAACTGGAGAACTGAAAGAGAGGGTGAGGCAGGAGAGGACTGCGGGGGGCGGGGGGAGTATAAAATCTCATTTCGGAGGGGCACAGCTAGAGAGGCAGGCTATGGAGAAAAATCAGGAAACACTTGGACACCGAGACATCTGAGTTTGGACCCCCGCAGTTCAAAAGCTGTGATGGTGCTGGTGGCATGTGCAAAATTGTTGGGCTGGTGGGGTCCTCTCCTTCCTATCTCCTCTTAGGATGCTTCAGAAGAACAGTTTGGGGATGAGAGTGGTTGGTGGCCTTGTAATAATGCTCCCAACTTCCACTGCTGTCTCTATTCTGCTGGGACACCGGCATACAGAGGCGAGGTAGCTATGCACCTGCCATCACATGCTCTAATGGGCGGAGGAGATAAGACTCCAACCCCGGAGTGCGATCCAAGGCCAGATTGCAACTTTTACACTGAAGCTGAGAGGGAAAGTTTTGGTAGATCAGGGTGATTGGATTAAGTGACCTCTCACCCACATACTAGTAGCAATTTGGGCCTTTTTAAGCCAAGAAAAGTGAGAGTTTATCAGATTGATGTGCATGTCTGACCAGACGAGGAACTTGGGATTGTCCAATCCTCCCAGCCCAGAAGCTTGGAGATGTGGAAAGCTGCAAGTCTGTGTGACCCTTGAGAGGCAGAGAAGTACACTGAGTATCTGCTACCTTGTCACCAGGCCAGGAGGGAGGAGCAGGGCCTCTTCCCTCCCTCCCCACAAGCCCCAGAGCAAAGCATCCTCCTGTGAGGGGTTCTGAGCTCCAGGGTCTCGTGGCAGGCTGCTGCCCCAGGAGTTACCATGGCCGACTGACTCCCCCTCTCCAGACTCTGATAAAAGCACCCAAATGACAGCATCGCTTGTCCCCTGCCCAGCTACTTCTGCTACTTGAAACCTTCAGCTCCATGTAAATTAGAAGTTAGAAAGATTGGCTGGGCCCTGGGACAGAACGTGTGAAAGCAGCCTCTGTCGCTGGCCCTCACTGGTGCTGAGGCTGTTGAAGAATCTGTTACCAGTATCCTACAGTTGACCCAAGCAGCCAGCAGTAGTTCCCAGAAAGGAAAGCCACACCAGAGACGGCCACGTTTAACTTCAGAGCAGCAGGTGTCACTGAAAAGTGATTAAAGAATATAGTAGTCAAGAGTGGTGGCTCATGTCTGTAAATCCCAACCTTTGGGAGGCTGAGGTGGGTGGATCACCTGAGGTCAGAGAGCAGCCTGAGCAACATAGTGAAACCTCATCTCTTCTAAAGATACAAACATCAGCTGGGCGTAGTGGTGTGCACCTGTAATATCAGCTACTTGGGAGGCTGAGGCAGGAGAATCAATAGAACCCGGGAGGTGGAGGTTGCAGTGAGCCGAGATTGTGCCAATGCACTCCAGCCTGGGCGACGGAGCAAGACTCTGTCTCTAAATAAATAAAAAAAAAATAATACAATTTAACTTATAATTTACAAGGGATTTCTCATAGCTTGCCCAGAACACAATAATTATAACTATTTATAATATTAAATAGTAAAGCTTGGGTACTAGAATACTGAGGTCAGCTTATCTGTCTCAGAACTGTATTTTGGGGTTCACCTGAACAAAAGTTGATCTCTAAATGCATGATTATATCTTATCTAAATTTACTGTCTCAAATAAGTTGCTTGATTTAAAAGGTCAATTAAGCAAAACCTAATACAGCTGACCCTTGAACACCATGGGTCTGAACTGTGAGGTCCACTTATACGAGGACTTTCCTCTTCGTCTGCCACTCCTGAGACAGCAAGAGCAACCCCGCTTCCTCCTCCTCAGCCTGCTCAAGGAAATGGTGATGATGATGAGGACCTTCGTGACGATCCACTTGTATACTTAAGAATCGTAAGCATATTTTCTCTTCTTACACTTGTCTGAATAACATTTTCTTCTTCATCTTACTTTACTGTTAGAATATTGTATAATATATATAATACATATAATATACAAAATACGTTAATCAACTATGTTATTGACAAGACTCTGGTCAACAGTAATTAAGTTTTGCAGAGTCAAAAGTTATACAAGGAGTTCTGACCCTGTGGGAGGCTGGCACCCCCAACCCCCACATTGCTCAAGGGTCATATATATTTAGAACTGTCCTTATTTTTGACTTACCACGTCATGTGTCATTTGTTTTAAATTAAATTTGATTTTCAGATTTCAAATATAACAATAACACAATATTGTCTACATTTGGGAATGGTGATTAACTGCCCACCCCACTATTCTGTCTCAGTAGTGTGTATATCAGAGTAAAGAATTTCCATTACAACAATTCTTTAAGACATTTAGAGTGAGTAATATGTCCACAGGGAATATTTCAATCACTAAAATAAAAGACCAAGAAGATTACATTCAGGCCCAGCTAAAATGATGGAGGGCAACTGTCCCACAGATTTGAACTGTGTGAACTGAAGAATGATCAGGGCTGCAGCTTGGTGACCCTGTTGTGTAAGGGCCTCACATCTGATCATCAAACTGCCTGGACCCTACAGAAATGACCGCAAGGATTCCATGCTCCCACACAATGCACACTAGCTGCTCAACTTGTCATTCCTACATTTTTTTACATGAATAAAATTAGAGTCAGTGATCACACCACGAGGTTAGCCATTATTCTAAAAAAAGTTTCACTTTCTCATTAACTTAATTTCTATTTTACTAAGGCATATAATACTTAAATGTACATTCAGAAAAACTTCAAAATGGAAAATATTTCAATACATTGTTTTTCTCGTTATCCCCTTATGGTCTACTTCTTTCAATATTTTCACTCAAATAATTTTACATGCTATAACAGTAAGCAATCAAACATCTGGAACTAAAACTAAATCTGAATTTTAAAACAGGAAAAGCTTATTTCAGTTTAAAATCAATTTTTCTACTTGGAAAACTTGCCAATAACTTAACATGTCTAAATGTCTTCTAACACTGGTCTGTCACTGTGAAAGGATTCGGGAATTAGAAAAACAGGAAATGTGTTGGATGCTGATTATTTTAAAGTCTTCCTTTTTCCCCATTATTAAGATGATAATAGGCAGTCTATTCCGCAATAAATAATTCACTTTGTCCAGATTAGTTATATCACTTTAAGCTCATGAAAGCCTTATGAGAGCAGTACTAGCAATACCTGCATTTTGCAGATGACAAACCAAGGCTTACCCAAGTAGTCAAAGAACTAGCACATGGCCAAGGGGCAGGCTGGCCAGGCAGTGGGGTCCGGAGCACACTCTCTTCCCTCAATGCCAGGGGGTCCCAATTTCTTTGGTCTCAAGACCAGATTACCGAGAACCCCAAAGAGCTTCTGTTTTGTGAATTTTACCTGTTAGGTTAACCTTATTCGAAATTTAAATAGCTTTAAATACATTACATGTTAGCAATAAATTCATTATGTAACATATTTTTAATATATTTAAAAAAAAAAAACTATTTTCTGAAACAAACAAATGAGAGACAAGTGGTGGGCTCATGAGAAGCCTGGGATCTCACATCCGCTGTGTTCCGTCCTGTGCCATCATGCGCCACGGGGCCACAGCAATGCCACAGGGCCACAGTAATGCTGCTATGAGCTGGGTATGGCAGGAGAGGGGAAAAGAGTGACCATGGCTCAGTATCGATATGCAGACAGACCCTAACAGGCCTCCGGGCCCCCAGGCATCCCAGGAACATGCTGTGAGAAGTGCTGCATTGTCTGATGTGTTTCAGAGGACTCCTAAGCTCCCACATGGTGACCATCATCTTGGCTAGCAAAGCATGTTCTTCACTTTGAAAGCAAAACTTAACATCTGGTTCCTTCTTACAAACATCTGGAACAGAATAAAGCAAGTAAGAACATGAGATGACAGAAAAGTCAAATTCTGCTATTAGAAATCATAGGCCTTAAGTTTATTTATACCTTTTTCTTGGCAAAGCTTAGTGTTTAGATATATTTTATGTACTCACAATATACTCATATGGTAGGAAGCAGTAATTTCCAAATTTTACATAAAAAATGGATGGAATCTGTGTGCTACTAAATGTTTACTAAGGGTGGACTAGCAGATACTTACAGGACAGTAACCTGGAGAAATTTAATTAGGCAGCGAAAGTTGTAATATATACCAAACTGTCCCAGAATGAAAGCTGATGATGCTAACCATAGAAACCTATGTGGATCCAGTGACACCTCCTGGTAGCACTGATGTTAAACCAGGGGGGCGCTTCCCTGGGCCTAGTCACCAGGGCTTGACTTCATAGAGCAAAACAGTTGTTTGTCAATTGCATCTTTCCCTGGCAATTTCAATGCATTCCATTTTCCATTACATACAAATACTAAACACTTCCTGCGCGAGGCTGGTAGTTTCATCTGCTCCCTTACACCCCAGACAAAGGCATCTCATTTTAGGTTGTTCCTTAAATAATTCACTTGTAAGCAAAAGAAAGTACCTACCGTAAACCAGCACTGGGTCTGGGTGTACTTGGACAACTGAGACGTGACTGGGGGATTCACTGACTCACCAGCCCATCGCAGTAACTACTGTGTATATTCAATATGTTCAATCCAGCCCCCAAAATTCAACGACAGCTTTAAAGGGGCTGTGTACAAGTATGGTAAAACTTAAATAACCTTGCAAACATTTTCACAGCTAGTTCTAGACTTCAAGAGACAGTTTAATCAATGCTTCAAGGGAAGAGCAGAGAGAAGTCTGTTTTCTTACACCATACCAATCTGGGAATAAAAAAGATGAAGAAGTTTGCAAACGTGGACTGTAATATTAGTTGGTTCTTGACCCTTACTCCCCATCACCCCCCAATCCTGTGCTTATCTGAGATCCCTCCCCATGCCCACCTTCCCTCTAGCTACTTGGAAACCCAAGTCCACACAGGTGATCTGTGGTCACTGTCATGTACAGGGTTCAGTCCCCAAGACCCCCAGGATGAGAGGCAGCTGCAGAGCCTTGTCCCATGTCACCCATGATCTCACCTGTCACCAGCACACCAGGGTTCTCAGCTCCATTTCCTGATGCCCGCCGAGCCAGGCCAGACCAGAGCTGCCTGCTCTGCTCACCTCACGCTCAGGACCCTGTGGCTGCACCTGCTTTTTTTTTGGGGTGGGGGGAGGTGGAGAGTGGAAATCTCCTTCCCTTGTTCATGTGGCTCACTCAGCCACAAGAGCTGAGCACCCAGGCATGAGTTCATTTGCTTGCAAAGTCTCACAAAGATGCGTGTCAAGGCAGCTTTTTCTCCATTTTCCCGCAGCTCCCTCCAATAGATACCATGGCTTTTTGGCTTAGGAGCGCTCACACACTGACTTTTCTGTCACTGTTCATTCATGTATTCTTCCCAGCAGTCCTGTCAATTTAATGCCATCTAACCTCATCTAAATGCTGCTTGAGATGAGGAAACTGAGGCCAGCAGAGGGGACGTGCTTGCCAGGCTCACTTAGGGATGGCGCTGCCCCATGCCCTGAAGGCACTCGGACCTCCATACAGAAGTCGAGCTGAAGGCAAGCTCAGTGAGGGCCACCTGCCCAACTTCCAGTTAACTTCCTCTGACAGCCACTGCTGGCCTCCAACCAGAGCTGCCCCCACCCCCGTGTTTGTGCTAGATTTTGACATTCGTGGGGGGCCCCTTGAGGATCTGGAAAAAGCAATGGAAAACAAAGAAACACTGAATTTTGAATACAACATGTATGTATATGGGCGCAGGGGCTGATGAAACCCCCGGAGCCTATCTGTGCACCACAGCTGTAAACCTTTGGCATGGATTCTGCTTGAGGAGGCCACCAGCTCTCTCATGCAAACTGATCTAAATGTAGCTGGCCAGATAATCCCAGAACATGCCAACACATGAGTCGCACTCCTTGGGTCAGTCATGGCGTGATTCCTGTGTGTGCTGCTGGCCAGCTGCAGAACCAGCTAGAAGGGAAGGGTGTTGTGAGACACAGAAGAGGAAATGTGATGATCATGCTAAGGACTTGACTGATGCACGGAAGGGTTTTGGCAGCTGGGAGACCTCTCTCAGTGGCCCTCCGACCTGAAAACCTGTGCAGGAAGCAAGTCTCAGAGGGAGTTCCCCCACTGGGCTAACCAGTGACTAAATTGAAATTTCCACACTTAAATAGGCTGCACTCAAAGGAAGTGCTAGCACCGCCTTCTGCAGACCTCACACTCATCCATTCCCACCGAGGATGCAACACGGCCCGTCTGTCCTCCTACCCATAGGAGCCTGCCCTTCATTCTCCTCCTCTCCGGGCAGGAGATCCACTGGATCTGCAGTCAAACCCCGACTTTCCCAGGTGCTCACCTGACACTGCAGGTCCTCTCTGTACACAAGCATAGCAGTTCCAGTGAGCATCAGACGGCACAGCCCTGGTGCAGAGTCTGTACTCATCAATTTTAGTCCTTTCCAGCTCCGACCCAGGCCTCTGGAACCCAAGGCATGCCTGCTCTGCTGCTGACATCTGTGCAGGGACCTAGGGCATCCATCCTATCCATCCAGGAAGCCTGAGAGCTCTGAGCAAGCCAACGCCCTTGTCTAAACTCAGGTGTCTCTCTCCACCACCTCGGTAGGCTGAATGACATCCTTATCCATCCTGAGGTCACGCCTTCCACCCCATGGTAAACCCAAAGCTACTCCATATCCTGTCCTGGGATCTCCCCACTTCCAATACAGCAACAGGCTTCAGAGGTAGTTTCTGAACCCACATTGCTCCAAACTATTACTCTAAGTGTGGCCTCCAGTTTATCCGTGAGTTCCGGAAGACCGGGATCCCTTTGGAGATAGGTGGAGCTCACCCCGTGTGCCCCCAGTCCCTGCTCTGGCTCTCAGGCTGCCTAGATGTGAGGCTTTTCAAGCTCACCCCCACTTCTTTCACATGGACTCCTAGAGGGCCCCTTACTTTGATCAGGCCAAACCCTGCCATCAACACACGGCAAATGGGAAGCAAACAGCCGTTCCCATTTTTAGGTCTACCTGGGCAGAAACAAAGCTGAACAGACAATTTTCAGGGAGATTCCCAACGCCGGGAATGTTTCCTAGAGGAAGGTTTCTGTGGCCAACAAACATGGATACAGAACAAATGACTGTGGGAAGGCAACAGCACAACCCAGGACGCAGCGTCCACAGCCCCGTGCTGGCCACACCTGCCCCTGCCACACAGGCTGAGTCAACACAGCAGCTGCCTCTGTAAGGCATGGAGACTCGGCCACGCCACAGAGCTGTGGGCAGTCCCACAGATGAGCCAGGCCCCAGACAGAGCTCAGCACATGACTTTGTCTTTTCTGCAAACTTCTCTCTTACTTTCCTCACTCCCACTGTCACCTATTGTCTAAAATAAGATTCTTCTTCAGGCTGCCGCTACTCAGACTAAAACTCCAGCTCCGTGATGTTTTCCGCAGCCCCACTCCCTCTGTGTCCCTCCACACATGCCACACTCTACCCCTCCGCGTCACCCTCCTCTTCCTCTGCCCCTCTGCTCCGTGTTACCCTCCCTGCAGCCGGGTGAGCTGTCCTCCACGCGCCCCCTGCGGCCGGGTGAGCTGTGTCCAGTGGATGTCTCTGAGGCCGCAGTCCTCACACCTCATTATAATAACTGGGAACATGTATGTCTCCCCCATAATCGTAAAGCCTTTGAGGGCAAGGACGTCCGTTGCATCTTCCTTGAGCACCAGCAGCAAGCACCGAGCACAGTGCCCGCCCACTCACCAGAGCTCACTCTTCCTGCACTTTCTTTTCCCAGGACGTGCCTGACTTCCAGGGTCCTCAGGCCTGACCTTGACTCCCCGCCAGCTTCGTCTCCCACCACTCTGCCCGACACGTGGGCTTCAGTCACACCTAACGACCTGAACAACTACAAGGCCCGGCCACCATGGCCCTGTGCTGCACAGGCTCTCCTCTGCCCATCTGCCTGCTGCCCCTCGAGAGCACCCCTCCTCAACTCTCCTCTAAGCGGACTGTGCACAAAGTGCTGCTTGCTCCCATTACCCTGCTGAAGGCTCTTTATTAACTCTCCCTACCCTGGACAGACAACCACATCATGCTGGCATCTGCCTATCTGCCTCTCCCTGCCAGCCACATTCTAAAGCTCCCTGGCAACTGAGACCAGGGCAGCCAGTGGGAGACATGCAGGAGGAGGAGGGTGCTGGCTAGATCCCCTCCCTCTCTGCTTCTCCTCCAAGGCTCCAGCGCCCTGACCCTCCAGCTGGGGTGAAGGTAGCTTCCTGCTGCCGCTACTGTCTGCTGGCCTCTCTCCTGACACCTTCATAGCCAACGCGCCTCACCTCCTTCCCCCGCGCTTCCTGGAACGGGCTCTGCTTCCAGTCTCATTGTCTCTTCCAATTTGTACTTAGCAGTATTATTTAGAAGAGAGACTGTATCTTACTCATTTTTCTATAAAGACTGTATAGTGACTAGACTAAATGTTACTGAATCACTTAAAATACTATAAATTTGATTCAGAAAATGTTGTTTTTCCAAGGAGGGTTTATTTCAAAATTGCAATGACTTATATATTATTTTTATTACATAATAAGCAATTTTTAGCTTAAAATAAGGAGTTTCACATTTAAAGTTAAAAAAAAAAAAGTATTAAAAATGTAGACATTTTTTAAAAGCCAAAAAAGCTGAATGTATCTTGTAGCACAGGTCTACCCTGAAACAGTCACATTTCAAAGCTGCTTTAAAAACTGATTTAAAAACTGGCTAAAAATAATTTACAATTGGCAATGATAATCTCCTTATCTTTGGAAAAGCATATTAATGACACATAATGAATTTCAAGTCATGAGCATTTAACGGTTTAATCAAGCATGTAGTTTTTACCAGTATACAAAATGAGACTTAGTACAAAACTGTCTTAAACGGTCACTTCAGTTGTTTCTGGGTGAGTACTTCCTGGGGAAAAGCATACTTCACCAAACACAGAGTATCAACATCCAAGTGTCCTTTTCCACGAGTTTCAACTTAGGACAGAAGAACAGCATTTAATAACTGCATCCCTGGTGGAAAAAAGAGGGAAAAAAACAATTTAATATTCCTCAAGAGCAAAGTTGCAGAAAACGTTCCTACTGAATCACCTTTTTTAACAGTAGAACTCAATGGACTCTCCAATACATTTTTTGATTAACAAAAACTTTGTTCAGTATCATTTAAAATTAAGAACAGAGACCTGAAAACATTTTGCGAATTTCTGACATGGTATTTATCTTAAGAAATTTTTACTGGCACATACACTGATCTTGATACAAAGAAATAAGTTTAAATACCAAAACTAACCTAACAAAATATCTTTTTTCTTTTTCTGAGACAGGCTCTCGCTCTATCTTCCAGGCTAAGTGCAGTGGCGTGAACGTGTGAACAGAGCCTCCCACCTCAGCCTCCCAAGGAGCTGAGACTATAGGGCATGCCACCATGCCAAGCGAATTTTTTTTTTTTTTTTTTTTTTTGGTAGAGACAGGGTCTTGTTATGATGCCTAGGCTGGTCTCGAACTCCTGGGCTCAAGCCAGCCACCTGCCCCAGCCTCCCGAGTAGCTGGGATTACAGGCATGAGCCACCACACCTGGCCTGACAATTTAATTTTTTTTAAAAAAACTAGGACAGGTGAGGTGGTTCATGCCTGTAAGGCAGGTGGATCACCTGAAGTCAGGAGTTCAAGACCAGCCTGGTCAACATGGTAAACCTCTGTCTCTACTAAAAAACAGAAAAATAGCTAAGTGTGGAGGCACATGCTACTAGGAAGGCTGAGGCAGGAGAATCCCTTGAACCTGGGGGGAGGAGATTACAGTGAGCCAAGATCACACCATTGCACTCCAGCCTGAGTGACATGGGTGACAAAATGAGACTCTGCCTCAAAAAAAAAAAAAAAAAAAAAAGAACTAATGAACTGAGTTTTAAAAGTGTAATGTTCACTTTGGGAGGTCAAGGCGATGGATCATGAAGTCAGGAGTTCAAGACCAGCCTGGCCAACATGGTGAAACCCCATCTCTACTAAACATACAAAAAATTAGCTGGGTGTGGTGGCGGGCGCCTGTAATCCCACCCAACTACTTGGGAGGTTGAGGCAGGAGAATCACTTGAATCTGGGAGGTGGAGGTTGCGGTGAGCCAAGATTTGCACCATTGCACTCCAGCCTGGGCAACAGGGCAAGACTCCGTCCCAAAAACAAAACAAAACAAAGTGTAATGTTTACAACTGAACCCTCAGAATTTTAAAAAAATTAAATTGTGACCTTTCACATTTTCTTCCAAAACTGTTATTTCTTGATACTTTGATTCATTAAAAAACTTTTATGTAGGCCATTAAAAATATCCACTAATAACATTTGAGATTTATAGGCAAATTCTGTACACTGTTTATTGCTCTCGAGTGCAGGGTCCTCAGTGTATGGAAAGGCTGGTCATTTTCTCCAAGTCCTGCCGTCTCGCAGAACCTCCGGTACAGGACATCATGTCCAGAGCATCTTTCCTTGGCACTGGGAAGTACTGGAGGTCTCCTTGCTAAAGCTCCGGTGCATGGTCAATTACCCTTGCACACCCTTGTTAATTAAGCAGCTTTGTCACCTGTAGCTGACTTTGTTTTGCTTTTTCTAAGTATCTAGCAGAAAGAATCATACATTCAAAATGGAATAAAAGTAAAATTTCTACCAATTTCCTTCATCATTCGCATTAAACAGAAAATTTTGCTGTTTTTAAATATAGAACATACCTCTGAATTTCACAAAGAGGCAAAGCTGTGCCTCACCAGAATCTTTTTCTAAATCTATCAGATTTAAGATTGGAACTAGTTTTGTTTTCCCCTCCATGATTAAATAAATACATTTCTCTGGAAAATATTTTAAAATGCCAGTTACCTCTTGACGTACAACTAGAATGTTTCTGCTGGCTAAAAATAAGCATTATGTGTAAACCTCATTTTCCCAGTAACTTCCTTTTTTTTAAAATCTTTCCTGAGACAGAGTCTTGCTCTGTCACCCAGGCTGGAGTGCAGTGGCATGATCTTGGCTCACTGCAACCTCTGCCTCCCCAGTTCAAGTGATTCTCCCACCTCAGCCTCCCAAACAGCTGGGATTCCAGATGCCTGCCACCACACTCAGCTAATTTTGTATTTTCAGTAGAGACAGGGTTTTTGCCATGTGGTCAGGCTGGTCTCGAACTCCTGACCTCAAATGATCTGCTCGCCTCGGCCTCCCAAAGTGCTGAAAGTACAGGTGTGAGCCATTGCACCCAGCCATAACTTCATTTTTTTAAGTAGAATTTGTTTTCCTGGAGTCTCTGCATCCTATTTTCTGAACTCCTAAAGCCATGGAAGACTCCAGAATCTCATCCACATTCCCTACTGCATGCCAGGCAGCAGGGTGGTAGGATACTCCCAACAGAGCTGCTTCATGTCGCCAAAATATTTCCACACAGACACTATCATGGCAAGCTCTCTTCATCTCATTGAAAACATGTTTATTTCCTTTTAGGAAGTTAACATCGGCCCCCCAAAAAAGCTGTTTAAATAACATTTTTATGTAAAAATTACTTAAATCATTTATTTGTGTGAAGATAAAGGGCCAGAAACAAGACAGAATTCAAATGAGCTCACCTTGCGTATGGGATGTACGACAGGCTATACCTGCAAGAAATATTCAAGCATGTTGAATCTTCATCTGAGAATGACAGTTTTTCTTTATGCCATATGGCCATGTCTAACCTTATAATAAATACAGCAGCAAGAGACTGACTGTACAGTGGTGCTCAAAGTGTGACCCCGACCAGCAGCCAGAGCATCACCTGGGAACTTGTTAAAAATGCAAATTATTAGGCCCTACCCTAGACCTCCTAAATCACAAGCTTGCTTTAGCAAGCAACCTGCACTTCAACAAACTCTCTAGGTGATTCTGGTGTATGCCAAGTTTGGGCTTCTTGTAAGAAAAGAGAAACTGTACAACACTGATAATTATAGTCTCCTTTAGGAATAAATCAATTATTAGGTACAGATTAGGCAATAAATGGCAAAATACTAGAGAAAATAACCAAGAGATTAAGTTTATTTACGTAACAATGAAAACCCATAAAGAGTATCACATGGTTACTTTGAGATATGCAGAGAACTACATTTAACATTCATTGATGCTTCATCTGTCAGTGGAAAGAGGGCCAAACAAAAGGTGATCCCAAACTGGGCAACATCCAGTAGGAGGAATGTAAAATGGCAAAACCAGGAAGCAAAAGAGAGCAAGCAAGCATGAGCTGCTCTAAAGGAAAAGGAAAAGCACCTTCACTCTCTAACACGAGAGAGCCTGGGAGCCAAAGAGCACACTGAATCGGTCGCTCAGATGTTTATGGCCTTTATGCAGATGAACTCTTGCAGTGCAAGACACAAAAAGGCTGCAAGGAGGAGAGTCTGAGCAGGAACCAGACTTTCCCTGAATATGCAGGGAAAGCAGAAAGGCAGTGCAGGTAGAGCATCTCTGATCTAAAATGCTTGGGACTGGAAATATGTTGGATACTGGACTTTTCTGTATTTTTGGACTATCTGCATTATGTTTACTGGTTGAGCATCAACCACATCTGAGCATCACGTCAGTGTTCAAGAAGTTTTGGATTTTGGGCTGGGCATGGTGCCTCACACTTGTAATCCCAGCTACCTGGAAGGCTGAGGCACCGGAATCACTTGAACCCAGGAGGCAGAGGTTGCAGTGAGCCAATGTCGTGCAGAGTGAGACTGTCTCAAAAAAAAAAAAAAAAAAAAGAGTTTTAGATCTTGAAGCATTTTGGATTTGGGATGCTCAACCAGTAACTTAACAAGTATTTAATCCCTGCCAATTCAGAAGACATCTCCAGATATCACATGGCCACAGAGTCAACATTAGGATAAATTCTACCTTGCAATTATCCAGCAATGGAGTGGAGAATGCAGGTAAACTCATCTTCCCTCGGTCTCACCCTGTGATTTGGTCACACTTTTATGGATTTACATGTCATCACCCACTTTTCTTATCACTTCTCTTTCTCACATTAGAAAAAAGCAGAACATATCACTATGTAACTATATGAGCACGGTGCCCTGTCCACACTGGTGAAACCACCTCCACACTTGTCCATCACAGCACCAGAGTCACGCTGTCAAGTCCAGCAGGACTCATCCCAGGCCTCCCCTCCTCTGACCCTGCAGGGCCTGTCTAGCTCCGAATCACCAGATGAAATGCTAGGGCTTTACAGATTCCAAACAAAATGCCTGTCCCATCTCAGGCAATTTTAACATTTTACTAGGGTAAGGAAAGACTTACCAGGTCATTGACAAGAACTGCAATATGCAGAATAATACGGCCAGTCCCTTCTTATGCCACTAATAACAGCAAAAACAGAGGAATTATGAGTTTCAAAGTTTTAAAAACATCTTTGTCAAACTCAATTCTTCCCTTTCAAAAATGTAGATGATGGTTCCATTTATCTTCTTTACTACATTTTAGTGTGATCAATTTAAGATACAGTTGATCTGAAACTTTAAAATCCATAAAATACATTTCCTATCTAAAACTATATTCATTAATTTAAATACTGCAAAATATATGACTTTAAATAAATGTTACTGAAACAATTGTGCATAGGCTGAAAACTAAACTTTTAAAGGTGGTTAGGTCTTTAAAGTCAGTGTTAACTTATCTAGAATCAACATTTAAAATCCCACTATCTACACCCCATGTGAAATTTACTTATTTTACTCATTCCCATTTACTCCTTGAGTGATATTTTGAAAGAAAATTGTATTTTATTGTGATCTTCTGGAATAATATAAACTGTTTCCATGGTTGTTTTAAAAGGTCTATTTTGAGAATTCCTTATCCATCAGTGCTTTTTTACTTATCTTCAATCTATTGTTTATAAGTAAACAGGCAATTCCAAAACCAAAGATCAATGCTCTATAGAGATGTGCAAGTTGTTTAAGAATATTCTCTTCTCATCAAGAAACAGCACATAAATCAATTTCATATAACTGGAGTTTTGTCCTGACATCACCAAAATAAAAAAAGAACACTGGAATATTTTTCATAGAATATGTCTAAAATCTATCATACACTATCCTTTCTTCTTTAAAATGGGACGTTTTCTTGTTGATAGCTCAAGAACTGCTTCAAACCCTTTTGGGAAATAGGTTGAGGAAAGAAATAGGATGAAGAATCAGGAAGATCAAAAAGTAGCTATTTAAAGGCAAATGAAGGCTGTTAACCTTCTCCACAGGGTAGGAGAATGATTTCCGTTCCTCTGTCTCTTTGTTGTTACCATCTGTGTTTTCTGGACCTTTCTGTTGGTTTTACACCTCGATACTCAGCAATGCACTTGCCTCACCACTGCAGCAACACAGTGCAGCCCCTGCAGCAGGGCAATGGAGGGAGCACACCCCTGAGCAAGGGCCCCTCACCACACAGCACTGTCAGAGGAGACAAATGAGCCCACAAGTAGGCGAGCTCATGCGCACATGGGTGCTTATTAACGACCTCCATGCTGTAGACAGCAGAATCTATGGCATGTTTAACCACTGTCTGGGTGGGTGAACACATGTGCAGATGTGTGTTTACTGACAACCTCTATGCTGTAGACAGCAGAATCTATGGCATGTTTAACCACTGTCTGGGTGGGTGAACACATGTGCAGATGTGTGTTTACTGACTTCCCTATGCTGTAGACAGCAGAATCTATAGCACTCTTAGCCATTAGCTGGATGTCACCACATCAAATTTCAGTAACACCTAATCTTTAGAGAGTTTTCTTTTTAAAAAAACAGATGAGCTATTTTAAGATAGTGGTGTGATGACACTTCACCTGGGGAGGGGACACAGTTAACTGAAAGCCAGTAGGGCTGACATAACTTACCCAAAGAGCAGCACACAGGGTAAATATGAAACACAACTACAGGGGAAGAAAGAGTAAATTATAAATTAGAGACCCTTTCAAAAGCCTAATAAAAATGCACAAACTATTCTGCATTCATTTGCATAGATAATATACTATAGAACAAAAACAAGAACACAGCTGACTGGTTTTACTTATATAGTCTGTATTATTTTACTTTAAAGAACTGGAAACACCTAATAATTTAATCTGCTAAGTAAACTGAAAGATGATCATTCCACATACCTGTGAAAGCAAGCAGGTGCAGGACTGAGCGCGAGAGGTGGGCGGTGTGGTCTTGGAAAGACCTCAAGAGATCCCAGCTCTGACGCCTGCTGTCTGAGGGTCCTTGGTTAAGTCAGTGGACTTGTCTAAACCTGTCTTCCCTTTAAAATGAGTAGAGTTCCCACCTACCTGCTTTAAAAAGCTGTTGTAATGAGTAAGGTAGAGTGCATCCGTGATGGGCTTGGGCTAGGGGCTGGCCCGTGGAAGGCTCTGTGTGGCAGAGCCTCTTCACCACCAGTACTAGGTAGGCATCATATTAAGTGGGCAGCAAATCAAACCAAGCAAAGTGCGCCACCTTGGGAGATGGTTTATATGTCCAAATGCTCCCACATTCTCTCAACTTGATGTGTACTTTGGTAAGGTACAGTGTGTTACTAAAAAGGTTGAAGGTTAAGTGCCAGGATTTCTTAAATAAAACTAATCTAACTAAAATCTTAGTGGAATATAAACTACTTATATTCTAACAGTGAAAGATAATTTCTTAGTAATCTAGGTAAAGTTACATGTTTCCATATATATATTGATATATATGCTATTATAGAAAATTCAAAATAATTGGAGATTATGAACATTGTAAGAAAATATGAACTTGAATATCAAGACATAATAAATAAAGCTAAAAATGAGTTTTTCCTCTAGTGAGCAGATGGGAGAAGACTGCCAGGCAGATTAGAGTTAACAAACATTTCCTTATAAATTAACATAGCTTAGCTGTGTTTGGAAAGCTAATGTTAATAGTTATAATAGTGATAAATTCTTTTAAATGCTTGAAGGCAAAAGAAATCCAGAGACACAGACCAGGTGAGTTAGGAGGCAGAGGCAGGAGGCAGAGACAGGATGCAGAGGGGATTTGGGTCCCCTTCCTGCCCGCGATACACAAAACGATGATCAGCTGAACACCCAGCATGTATGAGAATGGAAACAACCCTTCTAACCGAAGTGTAAACTCTCATGTACCTGCCACCCAGGCTCAAGACAAGAGCGATGACGTGAGTGTGTGGACAGAACCCACAATGCAATGAAGGGCACATTTAGAGATACTGTTATGGGAGCCATGTTGTTAAAATTTGTCAAGCAGGCACACAGGGAAAGGACAAAAGCCAGATGACAAATAGCACTAATTCTCCCTAGGAATATTCATATGGAAGCTGAAGTAATCTGTCTACACCCACCCTCCAAAGGGTACAAACAATAAGCCCTTATGAAACCATGGGCAGAGCTTAAAAATGAAAGCACACCGAGCTCTATCGTTCATTTAAATACACAGCTACACCGTTCCATATACGAAATAGAAGCAGGCTTTAACCAGTCAGCAGTCTTAGACAAAACTGTACCATCTTAAGTCTCTAACCACACAGCCCAGTGGATATAGTATCATATTCAACACAAGAAGTATACATACATAAGAACAGGTAATTATTCATAAAATAACAGTGCAAAAACTACTTCAATAACAGTTTTAAAAAATAATCATTATTTACTTACGAGCATAATAACTGTTGCAAGCAATCTCGTTGTTTCAAACATTTTCTTCAGTTGCTTCACAGGTCCCATTAGAAAGCACGTACTGTTAGAAACAAATAAAGTTAACTGAGGTACAGGCCTACTAATTTATCTGGCTATGCAAAAATAAACCCCTTTTTAGAAAAAGAAACCCTGTTGGTTTATTTAATTAAAATCTCTCACTGAATCTGTTTTATTTTTTCCTTAACTCATAAAGAAACTTTACAACTATTCCAATAGACATGCTATGGTTTGAAGGTGTCGTTGAGTGTGGTGGTATGAAGGACGTGGCTGTGACAACTCCTCCCTCTGAAAGGGATCAAAGGCCCTTAGAGGAGAGGCTGCTCTTTCCTCTTTCCTCCTGGGAGGACACCGGGATCTTCCCCTTGTGCGACGCATCCATCAGCAGGAAATCCAGCCTGCCAGTGCCTTAACCTTGGACTTCAGGCTTCCAACTGTCAGACAAACTCCTACTCTTCCTAAGTTACCCAGTCTACAGTATTCTGTTACTGCAGCACAAAGGGACTAAGACAATTAACAACCCAAAGATGTATCAAAGATTCTCGAAGAAGGATTCCCATCCTCCCCATCTAAATGAGCCCTCAGTCACTGCTGCCACACCCTATGTTAATTCTCTGCACAGCACCAATGCCATCCAATCTTTTCCTGGATTATGTGAACATCTTCCTCATCAAAATGTAAGCTCCACAAGAGCAGGACCTAGAGTGCAGCCGCTACCAGTCGGGTTCTGAAGCCCACTGTCTGCAAGATTCCTGCCTCACCCATGCATTAGGTTCATCACCAGGGGCAGCACTGACTCCCCTGCTCTGTGCTATTATCTCCAGCTATAGATGGGGATTATAATGCTACTTACCTCTTAAGCTTGTCATAATACATATAAAACAACAGTCCCAGACACACAGTAAGCACCCCAGAAACGCTGGCTATTCCTAGTACTAATGCCATCTGTTACGGGAGATGGCATATAGCAGCAGTCAATACGTATTTATTTAATGAATGTAAATCTTGTGGCTGAATTCACAATATGTACAGAGTTACAGAAACATCCTATTAGGAAAGTGCTTATTAGAAAGACACATTTGGTAGCAAGAGCAAACAAGATATTTTGAGAAGCAAACTTGCCTACGTACCTGGCTAATGCAGCGAGATTGCCGAAGGTGTAAAACACTGCAAAAAGCTTTATGCCGCCCGGAAGCCACAGCAATCCAGTTCCCTAAGATACCATCGTTATTTAAAAATGCTTTTATGATTTTAATGGTTAAAATATAAATGTGCTACTGCAAGTAATACAATTTCAATGTAATAATATAATGTTTAAATGCAAATCTGCTTGTAGATACTCTAGTCTGATTACAGAGAAAAAAGTTAATTTTCAATGTTAAACACTAACTTGAATCTTCTTCCTATTTGCACTAGCATATATAAATGAGCCATAATGAAACTGCACTTATCAGTAAATCTCACTCTATTTAAGTTAAATATTCATGTTAAATGGCAAGTATGAAAAGTAATAAACATCTAAATTACTGACCCTCCAGATCTTTTAACACATTGATAAACTCCTTAAATTATTTCAACAATCCACAAAACTCCCCAAAATATTAATTTCTACAGATTTTCATTGATCTCTACCCCTTTATTTCAGTTCAATAGTTCCACCAAAACAGTCTAACAGGGATTTAGTAAAGTACATTCCTTTTTGATACTAAATAGAATTATTAGTCTAATACAATACAAAATAAAAATTATTAAATATAAAGCCTTAACTCACAAGAATAGAAAACAAAATGCCACATACGAAGCAGATGGCAAACCATTTCAATCTGGTGTTGAAACTAAGGGATGAGGCATCCAGGACCTTAATAAAGAATGGGAAATTTTAGAATATATTCCTAAGTCACTATTTACCAAGATTCTTTACACTAAATTAAAGCTAAGTTTTAACACATAATCTGAATCATTTTGCATATCATAGTGTCACTTACGAATATTAAGATTCCATGGTTGTTATGGGCAATATGACCATGGTCTGGGTAGCAGGTGATACTGAGGAATAACCATTAACTTTGCTAAGTCTGATAATGTTCCACAAAAGTCCTTATCTGTTAGGGACAGCCAATATACACTGATACGGATAAAATGACATAGGAGATACATTATAAAATACACAAAGATTAAAAAATACAGGGGGCAGATGAAACAAGCCAGGCAAAACACTGAAACTCTTGTGGCTGGGAAAGGGGACACAGGGTTCACTATCAGTTCTTTTGGCCTCCATAGGACAAACTCCTTAGGCGCGGAGATGCAGAGACTGAGGGGAGACTTAGGAACTGCTCTCAGCGGAAACCTTTCAGAACTGAGGGAAGGGAGATAGAGAAGCGGAAGAAACCAACCAAGAACATGGTTTCACCTAGAGGGCCGCTCGGGCCTGCAGTGCAAACGCGCTGCAGTGAAAGTCCTGCCCTGAGGCAGAGGCTGGCCTTCTAGATGCCACCTCCCTTTAGCCGGTTATTGGCTGTAGGGTGAGGTGGAGTCGGGTGACACCATCCAGGGTGGAGGACGCCTCTACACCCCATCCAGGGTGGAGGACGCCGGCCACCTACAGAAGGGAGCCCGAGCAGTCCCAGCAGAGACCATCACGGCACTCACCAGACGGTGCCCATTCTAAGTTCTTTCAGTCCAACTCATAAAAACTTTGGGCCCCTCCTCACCCACTGTAGAAACATACTGTGAAAAGATCATTTATTCTAGAGCAGCATTCCTATATGCTATGCAAATTCTAGCCAAATTATGTGGGGAAAAAAGTAGAAATTACATCTACTTTGTACAGTATGTAACCCAGCATACGGTAGTGGTGAACTAAACACATTCAGATTACTATACTACCAAAATATATTTTCCCAATAAGGCTGAAAAAGTATCTATTAACAGTAACTGTGTCAAGAAACTAGAAATACACAGTAAGGGTTTACATTCCAAAATTTAAATTTTTAAGATACACTACCACATCCACTTAAAAATACAACTATATGCTTATATTTTCAAGGATAATGAAAAATAAGAGAAAGTTTTACATGTAATAGCTCAAAATACATTTGGTTACATTCCTTACCTCAAGAGATTAATGTGTGAATCCTTATGTAGCATGAAAAGTAGATAAAAATAACTAAGTACTCTGTAATGAAAAATATATCACTCTTCAACACACTTTAAATATTTTTTAAGTTTTAATTCACAGACATTCTTGTTTTTAGCAATGCCATCTGTTTATAGCAAAACTAAACACTTGATTTTGAACAAGTGAACTTGCCTATAAAAACATCTAAATTTCATTCTTACTGATCAGGAAGAATACACACTAAGTATATTTTAACTACACAGGACAAAATAAGCTGGAAAGACTGAACTACATAGTAAATGATCTTTAAAAAAAAAATGGAGATATGTTCATTAGCTTGGTTTAGCCATCCCACGAAGTATAAATATGTCAAAACATCATGCTGTACACAACATATACAATTTTTATTTGTCAATTAAAAATGGAAAGAATAAATTAATGATTTCTATAGATTAGTGTGAGTCCACAATGATGTGAGGATTTAATGAGAGGAAAGCATCGATTTTTACTTCTTTTATAAGTTTAAATCACAAGTTAAATTGTTGATTTTCAATAGCCAGTTTTTCTCTCAGCAATGACATGGCATGGTTGTTTGTATAATAGTAGGTATTTTTTCCTCTTACTGCCATCTTCCATGTATTGATCTTTAAAGCGAAACAGTATGACAAACTATTTCCATTTATAAACAATGGAATATTCTATCCACAAGCAAATGATTTGTCAAGTCTTGCAAACTGTCCAGGATACAGAAACAAATACAGATTTCCTAGCTCCTAATTGGGAAAACTGCAAAATGCTTCAACATGAAAGAAAACCTGGCAGTGCATCTTCCAACTAAGAGACAGATGGAACTCTGAGCCCCCAGGTTTACTTATCATCAGAATTTTTTTTTTTTTGAGACAGCTTCACTCTGTTGCTCAGGCGTGATCTCAGCTGAATGCAACCTCTACCTCCCAGGTTCCAGTGATTCTCCTACCTCGGCCTCCTGAGTAGCTGGGACTACAGGTCCACGCCACCACACCTGGCTAATTTTTGTATTTTTTGAAGAGACGGGGTTTCACTATGTTGGCCAGGCTGGTGTCAAACTCCTGACCTCAAGTGACTGCCTGCCTCGGCCTCCTAAAGTGCTGGGATTACAGGCGTGAGCCACTATGCCCTGGTAAGCATTTATGTGCTGCTTTTTTTTTTTTTTTTTTTGAGACAGAGTTTCGCTCTTGTTACCCAGGCTGGAGTGCAATGGCGCGATCTCGGCACACCGTAACCTCCGCCTCCTGGGTTCAGGCAATTCTCCTGCCTCAGCCTCCTGAGTAGCTGGGATTACAGGCACGCGCCACCATGCCCAGCTAATTTTTTGTATTTTTAGTAGAGACGGGGTTTCACCATGTTGACCAGGATGGTCTCGATCTCTTGACCTCATGATCCACCCGCCTCGGCCTCCCAAAGTGCTGGGATTACAGGCGTGAGCCACCGTGCCTGGCTTCTTTTACCACCAATCAGGAGCAATCCCACCAAAACCAGCAACTTTGTTAATTCTTAAATTTAGTCTTACAAAAGAAACAAAATTGCCACCTCTTTCTCTCCCAAAACCGCCATCAATCATACTTATTTGTTGCCAAAAGAAGAGGAAGCCGGGAGAATATACTGCCCTTCAGCAGGCGCCACACTCCCCATTCTCAGGTGCTCTCTTCCTGTCGCAATAAACACAGCACTGCTTGCAACTAGAACTTCATTAATTTTTTTAAAACGTAGGTGAGCAATGTAACAGAGGAAAATATAGTCCTAGCAGCAGCAACACGAAGACTGAATGAGTGGCTCCCACAGCACAGCTGAAACCCACTCCTCTAAGTGACGGAGAAGCTGGGGAACAGCTCTAACCCATGAAGCGCCGGGAAACAGCAGAGCTGGAAGGACCTGAGCCTTGCTCCTGGGCTACTGCCATCTCAACACAGGAAACACACACGGCTTTTAACTAATGATGACACTGAACCCAGTATTCCTCCCACTCCTTTTTCAAAATACCCATGGGTATAAAAAGACAAAGCTGTGTAGACAAGTGAGAAGCCGACACAGGCATCCGCAGACCCTCTGGGGTGGGCTCCACCCCATGCCCTCCTCCAGGAGCTCTGCTCCTCAGGGTCATTCCAGGCAGAACTGTTGCTCCCCCAGCCCCCTGCTCCCCACACCTGCTGCTGGGTGCCACACTTCTGAGAGCCATCCTCTTCCTCCTCCTCGTTCAGCACTCTTTATCACAGGTCCTACCCGGATCCTTGCAGCAATCCCACACGGCTTCCACGTCCACGGGGGCAGCCTGGCCTTTCTGCTCCTCATCCCCTGATCTCCAACGGCCTCTCCCCTCCACTCCACTCAGCGACCCATCCCAAGGCAGTCTTTCAACCCGAAATTACCCCATCTCCAAAATGCCAGCTGCCACTCTCTGACCTGCTTCTTCCCGGCAGCAGGCTGGTTCCTTGGCTCCCATCGTGCTGACTGCTTGGCCTTCCGGACGCCTCACTGGCCCTTGTCCTTTCTTCAGTGGCTTCGGCAGGACATTCGAATGCCCTTCCTGCTGCCTCCACCTGGGAAAATCCCTAGTGCAGCTTTCCCTCCTCCTGCTCCAGGACGTGCTGAGCTGAGCACTGCTGGGCGGAGTCAGGCACAGGGCAGGGGTTCCTGAGCCTGTCCTCATCAGACCCCCGCAGCCTGCAGATGCTGCTGCCTGGCAAGCTAAGGTTTGTTTAACTGGCTCAACCTGCATTTTACTCTAACTCACTTTAAACCTTTACTTCCTGCCCCATGCTTCCATTCTTAGCAGACAACCTCCCCTACTTTACACACACAAACCCAAAGCCATCAGTGGGAACTCCCTTACCTTCCTACTGCCACCAAACCACCAAACCCAGAAAGAACACCCATCCTCTCGTCCTTTCCTGTTTCCCACAGAGCTGAGATCCACCTCTCCACCCTGCTTTACAGCCAACCCCTTACTTGCTCAGGGAATTTACGCTATCGGGCTTTTACCTCTAGTGAACCATGTTCCTGCTCTCTGAAACTGTGTCCATCAACTTTTAAACATGCTGAAGCCCCTTCCATCTTAAACAAACAGACTTGACCTTCCAGCCCTTGCACATTTATACATTCATCCATCCATCCATCCACCCACCTACCCACTAACTGGCTCAATAAATACTGAGTTCTGCTATGTGCCTGTCCTAAGTGCTGGGTAAGGTGTCCAGCTCCTGGTTAAAACGTCTATGTGCTGGCTGCTACAATAAACATACCAAAGGCCAAGCACTGTGGCTCAGGCCTGTAATCCTAGCACTTTGGGAGGCTGAGGCAGGCAGATGACTTGAACCCAGTTCAAGACCAGCCTCGGCAATATGGGGAAGACCCAATCTCTACAAAAAAAATACAAAAATTAGCCAGGTATGGGGGGGGCATACACCTGTGGTCCAGGCTACTCGGGAGGCTGAAGTGGGAGGATCACCTGAGCCTGGGAGTTGGAGGTTGCAGTAAGTCAAGAACACAACACTGTACTCCAGCCTAACTCAGAGTCACTCAAGCAGCCTGAAGAGCTGTGGAGGCTCATCATCAGAGGGGTGAGCTTTGAAACAACTGATGAGAACCTGAAAAGCCATTTTGAGCAATTGATATCCAAACACCAAGCACTCCAGGGGCTTTGGGTTTGTCACTATGCCACTGTAGGAGAAGGTGGATGCAGCCATGAATGCAAGGCCACACAA